AAGCTTTTATTATTAATAAATAATAATCTTAAATTTAGGTACTATTATTATTTGAATTTTTTTACATAAAAAATCATGAGCTATTAAAACTCGCTTTATTATAATGGTATGATATATTCGAAGAAAATAAAGATGAAAATACAGAACTCTATGGATGTCTAAGATTATGGTTGACTAAACAATATACATGTATTTATTTAGATTCAGTTGATATGACAGTACATATTATACTAAGATATGGAAAAAATAATGAATATTTATTAAATAAATATATTTTTTAATATTAAATAAAAAGTATTTTAGAAGTTTTAAGTCTTGAAAATAATTAATTATGTGAGTGTATGCATGTTCATTTAGGTTATATAAACTAAACTAATATTAATATGATAAACTAGTTTTAAAATAAGTATTTAAATTAATTATTAATATATATCATTTATTATCAATAAATAATATATTGTGATAATGATTAATATATTATTATATATTGATAAATAATATATTAACAATAATTAATTATTATCAATATGAATATTTATCAAAGATCATTAGAATTATCAATTAATATCAATATTTTAGAGAGATATTTATTAATTTTTATAGATATGATAAAGATTCTTGATGAATATCTCTTCAAAAAATTTTCTGATATTACTTCAAAAAATTTCCTGATATTAGTTACTACTTAATCTATCTTTTCTTTATTTATGTTATCATTTCTAGAAAAGATATGTTTGAGTAACTTTTCATAACATATTTACAACTTTTCACAAAGACCATTTATTTCAGTCTTAGATTAAAGAGTAGTATATAATGATTTTTCTAACTTTTCATAACTCATGCATTTTTTTTTAAAGTTAAATTATCAGATTCTGGGCTAAAATCTGTAGAAACACATTACTTTTTGACTAATATACTACTATTCTTATCACTATTTATTTTTTAAGAAATTTGATCACATATCAAATACTTATTATTTTGAGATGTAGTAATGTAATTTACTTCAAGTTTATTCTTGACTTTGTGTATAGTAACTAGAATAATAAAATCTTCTCTATTATAATAAATCTTTATTTTATTATTACTAAAGATAGCTTCTCAATTGTTGTAACATGATAACAAATAAAGTATTATCTAATTATAACTAGTTATAACTTATAAAATTTTGGAGTTGCAACATATTATAATAGATAATAAATAAGTATCATATACTTGCTGCATTATCTTTAATCATTATTCTAATTTATAGCATATTTATATTTTTTAAGAAATAGATTTGGAAATATTAATATTGATTTGGAAACTCAAACAACTATAAAATCTTTATATATAATAAAATCTGAAGAAAATATTATTGATAAACTATGAGTAATACTAATAGATTCTATTAGAATAGTAACAATACTACTGAGATTATATTTTTCTGATTTATCTATTTTTTTACCTATATATTTAACAATATTTTCTGATATAATTACAAGTTCAGTTCTACTATCAAGTACCAATGCTAGAATTTTTAAGTATTTAATTTTAACTGATATAGTTAAATACTAATTACCAGTTCTTTCTGATAGATAAAATCAATCTCTATAGGATCATTCAGCATCTTCTCTTCATCATCTGATTTGGATATTTCTGGAACTAGCTCTCAATAATTTATAAAGTCAGATTTTGTAATAAATAAATTTATATTAATATTATTTTTAATTATTTCTATAATCTCTAAATCATTAAATATAGCTAAAATAATTTTTTGAATTTGTGAATTAATAATTATACCTAATTTCTTTTGTATTTTTTGTGAAGAATATTTCTTTGAACTAGACTTTTTAGATAATGATTTATCCAATTTACTCTTTCACTTTACTTTTTTTTTAATTTAACAGCATTGATAATTTTCATGATTTCAGTCTCAGTTAAGTTATTTTCAGAATCAGATTCAGAACTAGACTCAGAGTTAGAGTCAGAATTAGAATTATTATCAGAAGAGCTAGTGCTAGACTTAGAATCTGAATCTTTAGTAGTCATATTAATCTTATCTTTTTTCTTGGATCTGCTTTTGTTAGAATGTTTAAACTTGCTCTTCTTTTTATTTTTAGGATAATTGTAAGAATTATGACCTATTTTACCACACTTTGAATATTTATATTAAGAAGATTTTAAAATAACATGTATTATTTAAGCTAATTTTGCTTGATTGATATCCAACTGCTCAAATTATAATCTCAAATCTTCAATAAGATTATAATCATAATCTTCTTCTGATAAACCTGTATCAACCATTAAATTATTTAAAAAATAGTTTATAGCAAGATCATTAGCTTTTTGTTTTTCTAATCCAGAGAATTTCTTCAAAGTTTGCTGTTCTTTAGTAATAATTCCCTTCAAATTCACTATAAATTTTTTGAAATTATTTTGTGAAAGTATAATTTGATTAGACTATTCTTCTTGAGACTTAAAAGTAGTAGATTATATAGCTGACATTATAGATTTTATTAAGTTTTTAACTTCAGTTTTGGTCAAACCTGTATTGATACTTTTTTCATAGGAATTAGATACTTGACCTCCAGAAGACAGGAATGGAAAGTTATCTTATAGTAGTAAAAATTTTTCTGCTTCAACTAATGCTTTTGTAATATTATCTCTAGTATTATGATATTTAGTCATTATGCAGACATTATATTGATTCATAGAATTTAATTCTCAAATATACTGCTCTCTTATGGTAATCCAGCAAGTTTTTTGAGTTTTGATATCTTGGTATTATACTTGAGTATTGAAATACCTCCTTATATAATCTGATCAAAGAAAAGCAAATTTTTTTGTGCTTTAACTATAGGATAAAGATATTCAAGACAGTATAAAAATTATTTAAGAGTCATTTTAGATATAACAATTGAATTATCTGCATTAATATTCATATAATTGGCTAGAGATAGAGTTCCTACAGGTATGAAATATCCTCTAGTTATACTTCAATCTTCATCTCATATACCTACTGAAATAATATTAGCACCAGTTATTGTATTATTACTCTCAGCATTATTTCTTACAATCAAGACTTCTCCAAGAAACTGATTTATATTAATATCTGTTAAAGTGTCATTATTTAATGCTTGAATTGTATTTAAGTTGTTGACATCAGTATCATCAAGAATATTATCACATTACCAGTTTTTACTTTTGATTTTATTTTCATATCAGATTTTTGCTTCACCAACTATACATGATATACCTAAATTATATGCTTCTGCTCTATCAGTAACTTCTCTTGCACTAGTTATAATATTTATTCAAGATATAATTATAAATTTCTTGAATTCTAAAATCCAATCTGATAGATCTTCTTTAGCTTTTCTAATAAAAAGAGATGATCTATTTTCTATTATGTTTGATATTTATATCTGAGGTGAATTTAGTAATAGATTATTTTGTAAATGTAAAATTTGTCCTTATAAATTCAAAATTAATTACTATAAATTACACTTTCTATTTTCTACTTGATATGACTTGCCTTTTAGTTCTTGAATTTATTGTAATACCTATTAAAGAGCTAATCTTGATTATATTCTAATAATTCTTTATCAGTCTGACATTATTGTAACTTCTGCTCTAAGTGATAAATAAATATCTTATAAATAATTTCAAGAATATGTTTGAGTTTTGATTATTTATTTCATATCAGACTTGCATTAAATCACAAATATCTTTGCAAATTATATCTTTGTTAGCTATTATTAAGATCTCAAGCAAGTTGATTAACATGATTCTGCAAGATATCTCATTCTGATATAAATTAATTAATCTAGTTTTGCAAGGTATATCACTCTAATAAGTTAGTTAACATAATTTTGCAAGACATCTCACTCCTGAACAAGTTGATTAGTTTGATTTTGAAGGTTGATATTTTGCTATCTATAGAAATTGACATCCTATTATAAATAGACTATTTAATTATTTCTATCATCTTATTGAGTGATAACACTATCTATATTCTAATATGTGAACTAATAATTATGCTAAACAGTATTTAAGAAATCTCTAATATCTTTTATAATATTGATAGAATTATTTAATAGAGTATCATCATCTTGAATATGATTTTTAATGCAATTTAAGTCTCATTTGATTTATATAAAAAGATCAAGATTTACTATATCTATATTTTTCTTTTCTGAATTATATAAACTTGAAGAGCTTCTTCAAGAAAAAATAACTTTGAATCTATACTTTAGATTTTGAATCTGTTCTTTTGATTCTTGTAATTGCTTCTCTATATTATCAATATAAGATATCTTATCTTGAATATTCTTTTTAGCTTGATATAAATTTCTTTTAAGGGATGATATCTCTAATCTCAACTCTGTTTTTTCTTTCTCTAAAGCATTCTTGAGATATTTCAGTTTTTCTTTAAGGAATTGAATTTCTTTCTCACATCTGATATATTTACACTCTAACTCATTTATGTATTTTTCATTAGATCTATTAATTAAAATTTTATTAGATAATTCATCTCTTAAAGCTTAATTTATTTACTCTAATTTCAATTTCTGATCAGAGCTTGATCCACAAGATATTTGATCTTTCAAAGAAAGAAGACTTTGTCTCTTGAGATGTGATTAATAAAATATTATGATTATTACAAAGTAATGAAACTCTGTCTCTATTTTTTATAGAATAATGGGTGTCTTCACATATGGTTTGGATTGGTTTGAATTGATCGATCTTCTTCACACAAATTTTAGTTTGGATTGATGAATCTAAAATTTTGGTTTGGATTGATTGTGCAATATAAAAATTGAATCTAGCTTACAAGTTAGATTGGCCAGAACAAATTAAATAAAACATATTTATTCACATTAAATTTAACTTTTAATCACATTAAATTTAACTTTTAATCACGTTAAATTTAACTTAAATTTTTAAATCGAGTTAAATTTAACTTTTAATACATGACAAATTTAACTTTAATATGCGACAAATATATTAAATCATTAATAATGGCTGTCAATGGTTCCAACTCTTCGCAATCTGTTCATTCACCAGCAATAAAGTGGGAAACAAGTGCCACTAAAGTACTTTTAGCATTTTTAGATACTCGAAAAGAAGTTCTTGATGCTTTAAAAAAAGAATGTGAAAGAGCTAATAGTAATGGACCACTTTGGCAAGAATGTAGTTTACATTTAGTTTCTCAATACAACCTTAATTATACAGCTCAACAATGCTTTACCAAATTCAAAAACTTGTCACAAAAATATAAGGTATATAGTTATTATTGCTATTTAAGTAA